GCCAGGGCACCGGATCCTGCAGGATCCTGCGACCCGGGTCAGCGAGCCGGGTCGTGGCCGCGAGGCGGCCGCGCGTGCTGGCTGACCCGGGTGTGCGAAGATTTGCGTTGCAAATCTTTGTTGCCTGTGCAGTTCTTTGATTTCCTGCTGACCCGGGTCTGGATTGACCCGGGTCAGAAGATCCCCGACGCGGGAGATGCCAAGGGGGTAGGGAGTTAGTGGATGCCAGTCGAAGGAGAAAAACGCCATAGATATGAATTTTCGGCGCTCCGCGCGGATCTCTTGGATCTGCGCTGGGACCCCCCTCCTTGGCGCGCGGAGCGCGCCAGGGGCGGCGCCGGAGGCGCCGCCAGGGTGATCCCAGCGTAGATCCAAGAAATCCGCGCGCAGCGCCAAAAGTTTGTATGTTTGGCGTTTTTTATTATTCTAGCCAGAGTGGATCGGGGAATGGTGCCAAGCTTCTCATGTACACTCGTGGGGACAGCCAGACCGTGATAGAGAGGATCAACGGAAGACGGTTGTGCGTTAGTCAAATTTGCAGTCGCCTTTTCAGAAGGATGTACGATCGTTTATGCGGCATGGTTTGTCTCGGCGTCGTTCCCATGGGTTCGGTGGAGAGATTATGAGGCATGCCCTTCGGGAGTAAAATCACGAAACTGACGACTTGCTACCGAGGCCAAATCTCTGTCTGCAGCAAAAAGCGAGAACCATCCCTGACCGTTGTGGCCGATGTTGGTGTCCAATAGCGCATGAACTTGCTGATCCGATGCCGAAAAGAGGGAATGTAGTGTCGGAGCGGGATGAAGAATCTCTTGGCTGAGTTTACAAACTCAGGAGGAGGTGGCGTGGAGAAGGAGGTGTATCCAACTAGACCCCAAGTGCGCGGCCATGGCAGCCGCACCAGCAGAAATGGTCGTTGCCGATGTGAGATTCCGGGGAGTCTATTTCATCTTGTTTTGTTCATCTTGAGTGAATGTAAGAAGGCCAGGGGGCCCAAACGTGGTCGGTTGCTGCTCGATCGCCTGAGTTAGGGATTCGCCACTCGCTCGTGTGTCATCCGGTCTGGGCCACCTGCCCTCTGGAGAGTCATTGACGCGCACGACAGGGTCCCTTCTCAACAAGCCCTGCAACGAAAAGACGCCTCTTCCTCCTCCCCTCCCCTCCCTCCCTCCCTCCCTACTTCCACTTCCTCCCTTCTCCTGAGGAGGATCCTACTCCCTCCACCTCCTCCCTTTGTCTCCTCTCTTCTCATATAATGTTGTTCCTCCTTCTCCCCCTCCTCCTCCTCCTCCTCCTCCTCCTCCTCCTCCTCCTCCTCCTCCTCCGCTGTGTCAGGAGCCAACGCCGGGGTCGACAGGACACGAACCCGCGCCAAGACCGTTCGGCCGCAGCACTCTGCCTTTCGGAGGTCCGCGCGGACTTTCTTGAGTCGGCGCCAGACCCGGACCCACATCCCCACAACCCTGGGTGGCGCCTCTGGCGCCGCCCCCGGGCGCGTTCCGCGCGCTGGGAGGGGAGTCTGGCGCCGACGAGAATTCCGCGCGGACCTCCGAAAGCTATGCCTTTGCGCCGTCTGTGAAACTGGAGGGTCAACCTAGTCCGTTGGACGTGTCAATATCATACACCAGGACGACCGACTAAGAAGCTCCTGATCGGGTCCTGACCCAGTGGAGGTTGTCGTTTGGCTGGCCAAGTGCCCTACGTGAGGAGGTTCCCCGTTTGCCTGGCGGTATGCCAGGCCAAAGGAACCAGCAACTACTTATGTCTGGGCAGGCCAGACAACTCGTGGAGCGGTAATGGTGGTCTGTTGGAGTGATGTTTCCCCACATGCTTAGTGGGGTTATGGTTTTCCGTCGCACCCGCGTCTCACCTCACACCTTCTCTCCTCCTCACAGCACTGCTCAGCACAGCTCAGCTCAGCTCAGCTCAGCACGGCACAGCTTAGCACAGTTCAGCTCAGCTCAGCTCAGCACGGCACAGCGCAGCGCAGCACAGCACACCTCACCGCAGCACAGCACAGCACAGCACAGCACACAGCACAGCACAGCACAGCTCAGCTCAGCACAGCACAGCGCAGCTCAGCTCAGCTCAGCACAGCACAGCACAGCACAGCACAGCACAGCTCACCAGCACAGCACAGCACAGCACAGCACAGCACAGCACACAACACAGCACAGCACAGCACAGGCGTGGCACAGGCGTGGCACGCATGGCATTTCCTCGACACCACAGGGGGGGAGCGGTGGTCCCTGAGCGCGACCGCTATCCACGACACTGTCGCAAAACCTAGCAGGCGTGGCACTTTCTCGACACCAGAGGGGGTGCGCAGGGGGTGGTCCCTGAGCTCGCCCGCTATCCACGACACTGTCGCAAAGCCTAGCAGGCGTGGCAGTTTCACGACACCAGGGGTGCGCAGGGGGTGGTCCCTGAGCTCGCCCGCTATCCACGACACTGTCGCAAAGCCTAGCAGGCGTGGCAGTTTCACGACACCGTAGGGGGTGCGCAGGGGGTGGTCCCTGAGCGCGCCTGCTATCCACGACACTGGCGCGAAGCCTAGCAGGCGTGGCAGTTTCACGACACCGCAGGAGGTGCGCAGGGGGTGGTCCCTGAGCTCGCCAGCTATCCACGACACTGGCGCAAAGCCTAGCAGGCGTGGCATTTTCTCGACACCAGAGGGCGTGCGCAGGGGGTGGCCCCTGAGCTTGCCCGCTATCCACGACACTGTCGCAAAGCCTAGCAGGCGTGGCAGTTTCACGACACCGTAGGGGGTGCGCAGGGGGTTGTCCTTGAGCGCCGCCGCTATCCACGATATTGTCGCAAAGCCTAGCAGGCGTGGCACTTTCTCGACACCAGAGGGGGTGCGCAGGGGGTGGTCCCTGAGCGCGGCTGCTATCCACGACACTGTCGCAAAACCTAGCAGGCGTGGCACTTTCTCGACACCAGAGGGGGTGCGCAGGGGGTGGTCCCTGAGCTCGCCTGCTATCCACGACACTGGCGCGAAGCCTAGCAGGCGTGGCAGTTTCACGACACCGCAGGAGGTGCGCAGGGGGTGGTCCCTGAGCTCGCCCGCTATCCACGACACTGTCGCAAAGCCTAGCAGGCGTGCCAGTTTCACGACACCGTAGGGGGTGCGCAGGGGGTGGTCCCTGAGCGCGGCCGCTATCCACGTCACTGTCGCAAAGCCTAGCAGGCGTGGCACTTTCACGACACCGTAAGGGGTGCGCAGGGGGTGGTCCCTGAGCGCGGCCGCTATCCACGACACTGTCGCAAAGCCTAGCAGGCGTGGCAGTTGGCACTTGGCTCGACACCAGAGGGGGTGCGCAGGGGGTGGTCCCTGAGCTCGCCCGCTATCCACGACACTGTCGCAAAGCCTAGCAGGCGTGGCACTTTCTCGACACCAGAGGGGGTGCGCAGGGGTGGTCCCTGAGCTCGCCCGCTATCCACGACACTGTCGCAAAGCCTAGCAGGCGTGGCAGTTTCACGACACCGTAGGGGGTGCGCAGGGGGTGGTCCCTGAGCGCGGCCGCTATCCACGACACTGTCGCAAAGCCTAGCAGGCGTGGCACTTTCTCGACACCAGAGGGGGTGCGCAGGGGGTGGTCCCTGAGCTCGGCCGCTATCCACGACACTGTCGCAAAGCCTAGCAGGCGTGGCACTTTCACGACACCGAGGGGGTGCGCAGGGGGTGGTCCCTGAGCGCGGCCGCTATCCACGCACTGTCGCAAAGCCTAGCAGGCGTGGCAGTTTCACGACACCGTAGGGGGTGCGCAGGGGGGGGTCCCTGAGCTCGCCGCTATCCACGACACTGTCGCAAAGCCTAGCAGGCGTGGCACTTTCTCGACACCACGCAGAGGGGGCCTGCGCACGGGGGTGGTCCCTGACGCCCACTGTCGCAAAGCCTAGCCACGACACACTGCGCGTGGCAAACTGCCTAGCAGGCGTGGCACTTTCTCGATACCAGAGGGGGTGCGCAGGGGGTGGTCCCTGAGCTCGCCCGCTATCCACGACACTGGCGCAAAGCCTAGCAGGCGTGGCAGTTTCACGACACCGTAGGGGGTGCGCAGGGGGTGGTCCCTGAGCTCAGCCGCTATCCACGACACTGTCGCAGGGCCTAGCAGGCGTGGCACTTTCTCGACACCAGAGGGGGTGCGCACGGGGGTGGTATCTCACCGCGGTCACTACACGCTCCAATGTCGCAGGGCTTAGCAGGCGTGGCACTTTCTCGACTCCAGAGGGGGTGCGCAGGGGGTGGTCTCTCACCGGGGTGGTCCCTCACCGCGGCCGCTATGCACGACGGTCGTCCAGGGCCTAGCAGGCGTGGCACTTTCTCGACACCAGAGGGGGCTGCGCAGGCCTCACCGCGGCCGCCATGCACGACGGTCGTCCAGGGCCTAGCAGGCGTGGCACTTTCTCGACACCATAGAGGGTGCGCAGGGGGTGGTCCCTCACCGCGGCCGCTGGCTGGCTCGAATCTGTCCTCGATGGAGGATAGAAGGCTAGGAAGAGGGAGGAGGTTCAAGCAATATGGCGTTGGATGACACAGAGGGGAACATTCGCGACGAGGGCTGAGAACGCAGAATTGCGCAGATATGATAAACTTAAGCAAGCACATAAGATTTAAATTAAGTATGTGGGGTTCCTCGGTAGCGTAATTGCCGAAGATGGGAAATTGTCTAAACATGAGTTGTCGGAGGTCCGCTTCCTGGCGCGCGAAGCACGCCAGGGGCTGCGCCGGAGGCGCCGCAAGGGGGGGGGATATCGCCGATGCTTCGTGCCGCATCGCCGTTTTCGGACTCCCGGGGCCCTCATCGTCCTCGGGGCCGTGAAAAGGATGGTCGGGATGAAAGATTTGTCCCGTGGGAAAGCAGATCCAGGATCCGTTCTCTCAGCACCCGTTTTTTTAAGGCCAAGATGCGCGCGGATAATTATTCAAGAAATGCGTGAGAGATATGTTTTGGTCCTCCTAGCGGCCCGCGCATCCTCCCCTCACCGGCCCGCAGGCCATGCAGTGAGCCTCCCTTGGCGGCCTTCCTGCGACGTCGCCAGCACAGGCCTTGGCACGGCTGTGCCACCAAGTAGGCCAGACGGTACAAGAAGGGTGTGCGGATTGGTCGGCAGAAGGCGCTGTAATATGTATAATTTGTATAGTGTTGTGTTGTGCAAGAGTTTTTTCGCGCACATAGTCATGGTGGAGAAATAAGTGATGTGGAGGGGTAGTGAATGTGTCGGCCACAGCGGCGGACGCAGCTATGCTCGCACCGACCCAGGGGAAAGGTGAGGCAGGGAGGGGTCGGTGGACAAAGACAAAAACTATCATAAACGCACATATGTTCGGAGGCGCGCGTGGATTTCTTGCATCTGCGCTGAACCCCTTTGGCGGCGCCTCCAGCGCCGCCCCGGGCGCGGTTGGGGGTGTCCAGCGCCGGTCCAAGAAATCCGCGCGGACCTCCGTCTGTGTTTGTACGCACGCAATTGGCTACAGTGGAGACCCATGCCAAGAAACACCCTGCGTGCCTCTAGGCTGCCCTGGGCTTCTTCGGTTTCGATGGTTCTGCTGTGGAGAGCGCGGCGTTCCCACACCAAGAATCGAGGGACGTCCTGGGGTCTCAGGGTTGGGCTTCTTGTGGCAGGTTTCTTGTGGACGGGCCCCTACACCTTAGGCGACGGTTAAGAAAACCCAAGTTTTCGTCCAGAGTCTCGATTATTCTTAATTTCCCAATGTAAATCCCAAGATTTTGATAGAAGTTCTGGGTTTTATTCAATTTCTGAGACTGTGAATTTCTTAACCCATGATTTCTTGAGCATTTCGCAGGGTGTATTGCACTCAAAGAGTTGCGTGGGATTGTTGATGCGCTTCCTGTCGAGCTCTGACGAGCCATCCGGTGGCGCTGCCGCGCGCTTCCGCCACGGCGCTCGGGCGGTCGCCCTGGCGGGGGGCCTGCTCTGGCACAGTCAGCCCGCATTGTACACCTTAGGCGATGCTTAAGAAAACCTAAGTTTTCGTCCAGAGTCTCGATTATTCTTAATTTTCCAATGTAAATCCCAAGATTTTGATAGAAGTTCTGGGTTTTATTCCATTTCTGAGACTGTGAATTTCTTAACCCATGATTTCTTGAGCATTTCGCAGGGTGTAAGGACGGGCAACCTTCCCAAGGGTACCCTCGCATCCCTGCCTCCGAGCCTGCTGTTATTTGGATTCGGGCAAGTTTACTCGCATGGCGTTCGCCCCCTCACCCCCCCCCCCATCGGTCCTCTTCAGACAACTACTAGCGTGCAAGTGCCTCTCGGCTTGCGTGGTTTCCGCACGCGCAAGTCGTTTGCAGCTTGCTTCAGGTTCAGCCCCCCCCCTCCATACAAATACACTTGCCGGGGTCTAAAAATAAGCGGGCTCTCCTCGGTTCATCCTTGGCCACTTTCGGGCTTCTTGCGCCGTCGTGGGGTCATCTCGGAAGCCTGCTGGGCTGTCAGGTTCGGGCTCACGAAGACGCGCCGACGCTGCAATATCTTCAAGAATACAGATAATCAATTATTGCTGCATCATCGGGCCCTCTTGGGGGTTATCTTGGAGACGTCTTGGAGGCCTGTTGGTCCGTCTTGGGACCACCGTCACCGTCTTGACGGCCATGTTGGACTGTGAGGACCATATAGGGTGATGCTGCCCGACTTGGAGGCCACCGCGGCCATCTTGAAGACCGCTGGGGGTCACCTTTGCCTTCTTGGAAACCCTCTTAGAGTCGCCACGGGGGCGGGGGAGGGGGGCGGAGGGACGGACGGCCCTGCCCGACTAAGATTGTAGCACCAACCTCTTTCGGGAAGGCCGCAAACGCATGGACTTGGTTTAAAAAATGGGTGCATGCCGGGTTCGATGCGTCAGAGGTGCACGTCTATTGCGTCGCAAGAAGTGACATTGACAAAACCCACGAGCCCGACACACACACACACACACTCGCACACACCCGCACACACCCGCACACATATACACATACACACAACAACAGCAACAACATCAACAGCAACCGTTGCAAGTGCGTTGGTGGAGTTTGAGTCAGTAAACGACCCGATGCGTGTCGTGTATCTGACGGCGAGCATGAATGACATGCACGTGACGCAGATCACGCAACCATGATGTTGGGATGGAGTTTATGTCTGACTGACAGACCCACCACATACAATATGGTTTGATGATAAGGTACAAGTTGGTCTCGGCTGGGGCTCTATGTCCCGTTTACCTTCTCATGCGGGTTATTTGTCCGCTCCGCGTGCGTCTGGGCTCAGCTGAGGCCCCTGAGGAGCGTCGCCCATTCGCCAAAGCTCATCGTGGGAAGTGATTGACCGAGCGGCAGGTCAGCGGCGTCTTTCCAGGCATTCGTGGTGCGTTCGGAGCGTATTTTTCTGTGGTGAGGGATGTTGCAGAAAGAGAATGGCCCGCGTGATGGCCACACATTGTGCTAAACTGCTACATGTGACATGATATTCATTCAGGTCGACATGTACTGTTGT